AGTTCAAGAGTGACACTAATAAAATAATGCTAGTAACTAAAAACTAACTAGTATTAGAATTGTTATATTCTTACCAACTAAATTGTTTAGATAAAACAATTTAAACATTCTTGTATTTGAACTAAGCCACAGTGGTAAAAAAATAAAAGTAAAAAAACTAGCAGGATGGACACAATGTATGGAAGACTTGTTTCTATTTAGCTCTAAAGGGATAAGATTCAAATCTATCACACCAAGAAGAAATGGAGTTACCTTATACACAGTATGCATGCTGCTAGAATACCCCATAACAAATCATAAAAACTCGAACATATGACTGAAGTAACTCAAAACACTATCCTGGGGAGGATACAGCAACAAGGTGGCTTCATAACTCATATTCAAATAAATCTTTGTTAAATTGCTGTCCATCCATCCCACTCCTACAATAAAGTGGAGCACACTGTAATGTTACTACAGCATGGACAACAGTGGAAGCCAACCAATTGCGCTTACTCAACAGTAGTTCCATTAACAGTCTACTTACAAAAGGAGAGAAATTTATTGATATTGCCTTTTGGAAAGGGGAAACGCATTTCCTCATTGGATTTAACATGTTAAATCCTCATTGGATTTAACATCCAGAGCCACCTGTTTGCAGTGGGAATATTTCAGAGCCTTTGGGATAAGGAGCATTTTTCTAATTAGTAGTTTCTCTATTGAGTTGTTAAAACAGATTCAGACTGAAGATAAATATCTTTCCTACAAAATTACAATCATAATTTCACTTGCCATGATTACTGTTAAATGGAATAAGACAAAACCATAAATTACACCTCAAATGCAGGTACCTTAACAGTAGGGAGCCCAGCACTTAAAAATATTTTCAAAGTCCCTGTTCCAGCATCTTTTGCTGGAACAAACCTTTTGTTCGTTTGGGGTTTTGTTGGTTGCTTTTTTTTGTTTGTTTTTTTTCGGGTGGGATTTTTTTCAGGTTTTTCCGGGGGGGGATGTGTGGAGAGGGGTTGTGGTGTTGTTGGTTTTGGGTTTTGCTTTGTTTGTTGTTTTGTTTGATTTTTCTTTTCTCGGCAAAGGTAAAAGCAAAACTACGCTTAGCAAGTGATGCAAATGGCAGGTTCTCCTGTAACAGCTCCAGCACCAGCACCGAGAGCCGCCGGGAGAAGTTCCCTCGACCGCAGACTCTCCGCGCCGGGAGCGGCTGCGGCGCTGGGGCTGCCGGCCGGGATGAGTAATGATGTCGGTCCGGCCGGACAACGGTAACCCTGGCAACTGTAACCTGCAATTCCTGACTAACCATTGTGGGATTTATTGTGGCAGGGGCCAAAGAGGCCAAGAGTAAAATGAAGCAGAGAACTATGGTGTCTGACACATCTAGTACCACACACTTTAATCATAGCTGGCAGAAATTAATTCAGGAGGAATTTTTGCAAGGGCCCCCCATACAGCATGTTTTGTTGTTGCTGCTGCTGTTCTGGCCTAAGTGAATTTTTTAAAGGTTTTCTCGATGTTTAATACTTTTTCCCTTTAATTATTCACTGCTAGAAATTTTTTTTTAAAGTCACTAAGAAACATCTCAAAAGTGATATTTATTAATCAGACTGTATTAAGATTTTTTTTCCCTTTAGACGAGAAACATTCATAGTGTGTACCTGCAAGTACACATATGAGAAGGAAAAATATTTCATATCAGACCACACCCACTACAAAGGTTTTTTCCCAAGCCAATACTGCCTAACTTATACAACAAATATTGGTCAGCAGGGAAACTTAACCATCATTCCAAGTGTAAGAAATGTAAATCTAAAGGGACAAGCTTTGTGTATGGAATTCAATAACCTTTATATGCCACTTATTAATAAAGGTATCTTTTAAAACTGATTTTTCAAACAGCTTGGGTCCAGCACTTGGTATCCTGCAGCAAACAGCAGTCAATGAACTGTGATCTAACCAGCCAAAGTAAGCAATCAAAATCTATTTGCCTCAGATAAGCACCTACTAGGCTGTAGTAGTTTTCTGTACTAAGGTACCATTGCTGATATCAGACAACTTAATGGACATAGAGGTCACCAAAAACAACACATCTCCTTCCTGCAGTTCTTGTTGAACAAGAACTTGTATTTCCCCAGGGGATTTACAATGGCACCTTTATTTTAACAGTACTGCATCCAAACAGAGGTTCATGTAAATTGTGCTTTGAGGAATTCCTTGCAAGGTAAGATTAACATAACCTACAGCACTCTTCATACTATTTCTAGCATTAACTACTTCCTACTGAAATATTTATGCCGAGACACCTTTGTAGATAACTCTTAATGGGAAAATCAGTTTCTGTTTTGACTAAAATTATCCATTTTAACTATTTCCAGGAGATTTCTTGGAAGACTGCTAAACTGGAAAGAAGGTAGCCTGAAAAATAATTTGTTTAACTACCTTTGAAATTAAGTGTCTTTAGACACAGAAAATAATGCACTGTCTCTTTTAAACTCTCAACCTATCGCTTTCCTTTACTTACACTTCCCATCTGTCAACAAGTGCTTGTAATTTTATTACACTGTCCTGTAGTTTATGCAGAGTTGGTATTATTTTACAGAGTTCTGTTAATGGACTGGATAAATGGTAATGCTATTTAAACTAGTCTCCTGCTCCAGCAAACACAGCTGCAACTGTACTACTATTTCTAGGCAAACATCTTGACCTGAACATGCAGTGCTCTCTCAACCCGTCCAAAGAGAAATTGGAGCAGACAGCAAAGGGAAAGCATAGCCGGCCGCTGGCGGCAACCAACTGTGTCAAATCATAATTCATACACAGCGTACCCTCTTTCTTTTATATTGCATTTAGGCTACACAACAAGCATATGTGCTTCTTCACCTGGCATCTCATTTACAGCCAAGGGTCAAATGGTAATTATTATTCACAGAAGCTCAACAGTATGTTGAAACCTCGCAGTACACACATTGTTTGATTAGCTGTTAAATGCCAAAAATAAATACTAAATCCAAAGCATAGTATACATTTTATTAATCATGTTTAGAGAACTTTAACTCTCCTCAGAAAAATATTTATTTGTATGTAAATACATCTAAGCATATACAATGGTACATGTAAAAAAATAATGTTATACTCTTCAAAGTGATCAAGCTACATATTTTCTGAAAACTGACAAAGAACTTTTAGCTAGCATCAATACCTTTGTTGGCCTGACATTTTTTCAATTACAAATTTAGCGCTAAGCAGCTGTAGATTTTCAGTTTAATTCATATTTTCTTTTAAACATGAATACATTATAACCAGACATTCACTTTCATGGTCTGATCAACAATAACCCTTAGGCAGAGGAAATTTAATACTGTGAAGCCAGGGATCTCTTACTTTCCACCATATACGCTATGAGCAGTTGTGTGCTTTATGTCAAAGGACATTATAGATTTAAGACTAGCATCTATCAAATAAACAATTCTGAAATAAATATATTCAAATATGATTTTGCCTGAAGTGTGTATCCATTTTTTGCCTGCAAATTAGGGCTCATTTCTATTTATATGAATCTAGATAACAACCATTACACTATAGGTGAAATAATAAAGTGATCATAAATCTCTTTCATATTCCTTTCTGATGGAAGTAATTTCTTTATCATGGCTGAGGGAAATTATAAAAGACTCAATTGTTAATACATAATACCACATATGAATATATTATAACATTATAGCACAGCAAAATATTTTTGTTTGTCAGGACAAAAACCTTCAGCAGCTTTTTGGCCTCATCATTTAACAACTCATTGAATTTACAGCGAAGTTCTGGAAACAAAGCATACATCCAAAGCAAATGAATGAAATAAAATACACAGAACTAAATGTTTATAATAATAAGAGTAACTCTCAGTTTGCCATTTATGTTGCTATGAGAAGGGAGAAAAGAACTATTGTTTCATAGTATTAAAACAAAAATCAACTCCTAAAAATAAAAGTTTCATTATACCATTTTTCTCAAACATATTTCCATATACTAAAGTGGAAACAAATAAGCGGAATCCCAATTTCCTCCACCTTCACGTCTCTTTTTCCAAGCACACAAGGGATGAAACTCAATATAACCAGCAATTTCAACAGCAGAAATCTCACCTGAAGTCTAAAGAAATGTGTCAAACACGTATCTAATTACAACAGGGTTGAATTTGTACAAAAGCCTACTTAAGCATGTCATGTTGTATCCCTTCAATACCACATAATGTAACCTAAAAGTACCTTAAAATTTATTTAGTTAAAATAAACCAGGATCCAAACTTTATTCCACATTTCAACTGCAACAGAATTAAGTGGCTTCTTAGAAAGGACTATGGGCCAAAATATTTTTTAAAAATGTTGCTAAAACATTATCAAACCAAAGAATACAATCAAAACAAAAAAGCCATTACCCAATTTGATGTTATTTCTATTTAAGGTAAAGAATTTCATAGTTTTTTCTTCTCAGAGCTCAAGTTACTACCTTTGTTTTCTTTGTGATGGGACATAGGAGAGAGTTCTCCACAGACCTAGCATTTGCCAATGCTGTAATTTTTATAGTAAGTGTGTACAGCCACAAAAGCAGAACATCACAAAACCAAAATGCTTATACAGTGCTGCATCTCTGGGTCAGAATTTCCACAGGTATTTTTATTTCTTTTAACACAGAAACAAATCAAAACAAAACAAAAGCCAAAACCAACGAACCAAAAAACAGGAGAAAAGGAAAGTATTCTTTCAGCAAAACTTCCTTAAAGAAGTGGAAATTGATGACACAATACTTTGTCTCATACAACTATCAGTATCTGACACAGAAGTAAAATAAAATATAAAAAAGTCTTGCAAAGCAGTACTCAGCTTAAACAAAACACCAATGTTCCACGATGCATTTCAGCCCATTTGAGGCAAAAGACAAAAAACCCAATGCAAGACAGAATAACAGACCAAATCCAAACGTTCCCAAACAATAGTTATCGGGCTATGTCTACTTACAGCCTGTATAACTTCGGCGTCCCCAGAAAGAGCAGTTCAGAAAGCAACTGGAGGTTATTTCTGTTTAAGCGCCTTTAGAAAGAAAAAGAAATAGTTGTGTTAAATTACAAATGCTACAGAGCAATGCAATGCAATCACTTTGAGTAGGCATCCCAGTGATGTAACAAGCTGATTTTAAAGACCAGAAAGGTCCATTAGCGGAGACATGGTCCAGCAGTAAATTTACCATGGACTAATTACATTTTCTGGTTTCCCTCTACAGACCATATTACCTATTTTATGAAAGGTTTTGAATCTCTGCAGTGTGAACCAATCACTAAGTCAGGACCTTATCCTGCATAAACAACCTAAAAGTTGAAAGTACAAAATCAGCAGTGTAACTTTAATTCCCTACCAACTCTGTTCCTCTTAATATAATAAAGCAGGCAGACGTTTTGTGACCATGAAGAGGTTCAAAGGAACATGTATGAAATATATACACTTTAAGTAACAAGATAACATTATGTCTAAAGATCCATATAACCTATTTATTTAAATAAAAAAGCAAAGGAAGATGTTACAGAAATCCTGGTCAAATCAAATCCAGAAAAATCAAGATGTCACAGCTTATATTTGGCATTACAGGGTCTTGGGGGGGTGTCTTGGGGGGGTTTTTTAATGCAGTTTTTTTCTCTATACCTGTAAATATAGGAATTTTGAGGAAGTTAAATATAATATGATTAGTTGTAACTAAGACAGTGTACAAATGAAAAACTGCAACTGAAATCTGGAAGGTACCCATTTGTCTGTTAAGTTTCTCGCTGAGCATGCTGACCAGGGTCACAGCTGCTTAAACTGAGGTGACAAGATCAAAGCCCACTGTATTATAGCCATACACAACAGAACAACCACTGGCCAAGACAAATATATTTTATTTTCATGATCTCTTTTTTCAACATACAATGCAGATTATTATTTCTGCTGTGTGTAAGTGGCAGCCCTGGAGCTTACAGTCATACCAGTCAAGAAGTCAAGCTCAAAATAGGTTTTTTGGTTGTTTTTAAGAAATGCTCCACACATGCCACCTGCCATTCAAGCAAAGCAACCTACTGGAAAAAGCTGTTTTGTTCCATAAACCTTATCACAAGGCACAGTTTGCAATGCACGATGCTTGTCAATACAATAATTCAGGGCATTCCTAGACACCAGACTGCATGGGATTATCTGAGATATAGATATATATATATATACAGATAGATAGATATATAGATATATATAGATAGATATAGATATATATATATATATATAGATATATATTATCCAATGGTTACACTACATACATCAATAGACTCCTACCAAAACATTCCACAAGGTGAAAAAATATGTTGGGCAGCAGTTTTGCAAAATTAAGTTTTAGAATTTCATACAGGTTCAGATTTTCCCGTTTGTTAGTCTTAGGGCTGAATTTAAATAATTAAGTCTATTTAGCCTCTCAGGGCTTGTTTTGCATAAACATTGTTCCACATAAAGGTCTTTCCAGTTTAAAGATTTTTTTTCATGACTTCCCATGAAGATACACACAGACATTCAAAAAACCAATTTTACATAGCTCCATGGTTTAGTGAACTTAGTTATTGTTCCCTTAAAGCTCAGTGTGACTACTGATGAGAGTAAAGTAATCTTAGAAATATTTTTATGTACACACAGATCTGTTCACACATTTCAAACCATTAGCAAACAGTCAGTTTTTTGAGTTCTAGATATCCATAATTATCCAGTCTTAATGTCAGGTTCCTTCTTGTTAGTCAAGCATCAGAAATTCTGATTTCTTTAAGCAGAAGAAATCTAAATCATGCATGTAGAGATTAAAAGAGAATTTAGAGTGAAAAAACTGAAAAGGAAGGACTACACTACTGGGATAAGAGAGATGAGTGATAATGCAGCTAAGTAAGTAGGAAAAAAAAAATCCGAACTGTGATCTTGCAAGTCACATTTCCAAATCAGTCAAAAGAAAATTTTGCATATAAATGAAAGATAGAGCTATAAATAAGTTAATGGCTAGTGGAAGACTTCTGATTCAAACACTACTTAAGAAGAAAACCTTACCTACATAAAAGCAAAAAAGTGATATATTTTTGTGTTTGTGGATGAGGTCATTTAAAAATAGAAATTTTCTGACCTTTAGTAAACTTGTATATGAATGTATATACTAAGACCACAAAACTGAAAGTTCTGTCAAAGTAACAGTTACATTTGTGATCCAAAGATATTGTGAAAATGAAATTAAGAAATACTAAACCTGAACAAATTAAAGAAAAATAAAATTCATTCACTGTTTCTTTTAGCAAAATAGAGACTTAAACCTCTAAGTACACGATTACAGATCCAAAATTACATGGAAAAACATGTAGGGTAAAAATTTGGTAAGTTAGGCTCCAAATAGCTGTTCAGGACAAAAGTGTCTGTTGGTATTTCTTAGGAACTCTATCAAGTTTGGGTGCTAGACAAAAATGGTGAGCTGTAACTGAAAGGGCAATAAATTTACTCAGTATCTGTTATTTTGTGGAATGTCTGTGTAACACAAAAAAGGCACTATAGTACAATGATCAAGTTCATCAGGCAAGCTGCCTTTCACTAAATGCTACAAGAGTCTTACAGGAACACACAGCATCACTCCAAAAGATACTTTACAGGCAAAATACTTGCTCTAATATAAAAAGAGTTAATACCTTAGATCAGGAGTTTCTGGTATTACCTGCAGTTGACATGGCCCACACAACTGAGCATACCATTAAAATACTGACGCATGTGCTGCTGTGCAGACTTTCAAATCTAAGTTCTGGACAATAAATCAAGTTCCATTAAACTAGCAATAAACAGCACTATCCTCACATCTCAACAGTTTCTACCAAGTGAGCTTGGCACTTTAAATTAATGTTTCAACACACATTTTTATTTTGCCTTTTACAAAATTAAAATGCTTGTTGTTTGAACACTAAGTGAATTAAGGGAATACACAAGTTAAATTACTGATCTTTTGTGAATCCTGTATTTTGTAGCTTTTACTTGGAATAATTTCATCCCACTCACTGAAGTTTCATTTAGAACTAAGCTTTCTGTACCAAAAATTTGACCATTCTTTTTTATTGCCTGTGATTAAGAACATAAAACATTACTAATTTTCATGAAGGAAATAACAGGAAATATGTCCTTTTCCATACTTCAGAAAGAGGTTTCAGCTATTCTTTACATCTAATAAGTTACAGCAGATACTTTTAAAGGGGTCAATTTGATGTTTTAAGTTTCCTATAAGGAGACTTTATGAACTTCACTGAAATAAATTTTTCAGGACTACAGTAGATAGTTCTGTCTAAAAAAATGTTATGAAACTACATGTATGTGAATGGGAAAAAGGATGCAGAGCAAATCTGAAACACACAGCCTAATACCACAGGACTCAACAGCTTCCCATTCAACAGTCACTATGAAGAGTTTCCAATCTTTGGACAGAGTCACACAAGGAGTCCAGAAAATACATTACTGTTTTAAAATGGTTCACTAATATACATGGTTCCCCAACAGTTCAACTTTTTCAGGTGACCCCATGCTTAATTTTATCTGAAACAACAACACTTATCCAGAACACACAAATGCAGTGGAACAAGAGTGACTGAGAAAGACATGATCCTCTTTCTCCATGGAGCTGGAACTCAGGGTAAGCACAGATGGACCACAGAATCCAAGAGTGCAGACTGTAAAGAACTACAGCCACTGCAGACTAAAAACAATCAGAAACACTCCACCACATTTTATTTTTATTTCAATGTGTGTTGGCAGACACCTCACCACAGCTACCTAGCAGGCAGAGTTTCCCCTAAGGCAATGTGAGAAATTTCAGTTTCATGAATTGAACTGGTATCCCAGAACTGGCAGGAAGTTCAAGGCGAAGCATTGAAGAAACAGCGGAGATATATTCCACACTGCTACTATTCAGTTTTCCAAATGAGCTATAAATATTTGTGTTTTTCAGGTAGAGGTAAAGAGCTCAGAAGAGACAAAGTGTTAGTGGTGTGAGCAACAGAAAGTGTACTGGAGAATCTCTTCTAATATTGCAATAACTTGGACTGTGAAGTCCATTTGCAGTGTCCAAAATTAAATGGATGAGGGTCCAATATCATATAATTCTTTCAATTAAAAAAAAAACCTGAGGCATAGCTGCAACTAAAGTATATATCACTTTTTCCTTCTGTTGCTGAACGTCTCTTTAGGAAGAAAGAGATTGGGCAAACTGACACCCTGACACAGGTAAATTTTTGAGTTCTTCACAACTAATTCAAGCAAAGTCCACATACTATCTAGAGTACACAAAGTATTTCACATACCTCAGCTTAAAGCTCCCAGAGCTCAGTCTTCTAAACACAATAAAGACTGGAAAAGCATCTTCAAAGTGAAATGATGGAAGGAGTATACAGAAGGGTCAATTTAAAGACAAAGAATGAAAATCTTTGACAAGTGAGGGGGAGAAAATACTCTTTAAAAGAAGCTCAATACTAACAGGCAGATAAGAAGTAAGTACAGACAAACAGTAAGTTACACTGTGAAGGAAGCAACAGTAAGGTAAGCAAAGAAAATGGGCTTGATTTAAACTACTGGTTCAAGAGAACAGACTATCTTAGCTGAAATTGGTACATATCTGAATTTTACTTGTCTTCTGCATGCAGCCAGAGGATACTTAGAGGATGACAGAGAGAGAGGTACACTGCAGGGAGAGCACATTATGGTCCCAGTAACAACGTATCTAACCCACTGAGGTCTGGCCATGCCACAAATCTGTTCTGATATCTCTCTCAAGTTTTCATACCACAATAACTATGATCCAGTTGCAATCACACATGAGGGCAGAAGGGAGAAAAAAAAAAAATCTTAATTATACTTTGTACAATGTAATCATCTGCAATTGCTATAGTTCACAAGCAGGTGAACTGTTTGTTTCACAGACTTGTTACAGACTTCACTGTAACTTGTTTCTGATCCTGTGGTATCAACTACAGACAGCCACAGAAGATGTATGAGACTATAGAGCCTCTGTGGGC